ACTTATTTTATTTGAACAAAATACTCCTTTATTACCTTTTTTGAAAGCTGTATGTTTTTAATACTACTTCCTTCATAAATATTTTATAATTTATTTTGTGTTTTATGACATTAAATAGTTATATAAAATATATTATTGCTTCATTATTTACATGCTATTTATTTCTATTTATTTCATATAAAAATCCTTCTTTATTGTTGAGTAATATTTTAAAGAATATTTTATTGTTTATTAAATTCACTTCAGTTGAGACTTTTAATCTTGTTAGAATATAATTCATGTATTGTTATTTCTGTTAAAATAAAAGAATATTGTTAAACTGAAAGAAAAAAAAAACAAAAATGATTTTTTAAACAAAGAAAAAAAAATGATCAAATATTTAAATAAAATTAAATAATTGTTTCACATTTATCTTCCGATGAAATGTTCAATTTTTTGATTCCATAAATGTTGATATTCAGCTTTAAGAGAAGAAAATGTGTCTTGTTTAGTTTTCAAAAGAAGAGTTATCTCTTTGTTAAAGAGACGTCCATATTTCTTAAATTCATTTTGTATTATGACAAAAGACTCTTCATCGTCTTTAAAGAGATCAATAGAACAATACAAATACAATAATACAACGTTCTTAATACCATTTTCATTTTTATCGTGTATAAGAATAGAAAATAATGTCAACACACGTTGAGGATTTCTTGATAACATAGTATGATAAATTAAACATTCTTTCCAAAGAGTATTTTTAATAGCATCATAACATTCAACAATGCGTTGTAAATGATATGACTCATCAAAAATATAATTAATCAATTCATTTGATAATATTATTTTATCAGTTGGAGCATTGTCTAATTGAATATATGTTTGCATATATTCAGGAATCATATAGTCTAATTTTTTAATATCGTCTTGGGTGTATCTTATTTTATCTAAATATTGTTTAACAACAGAAAAAGTATCTTTAAATTTTTTAAGATAAGTTCCACAAGTAATTATTGCCTTAATTCCATTTTCAGTATTCATTAATTGATGCATTCCAATAGCAAAAAAATTTTTCATTCTATCAATTGTATCATCATCATCTTTTTCTTTTTGAATAAGTTCACTTGGTCTGTTTCTTAATACACTTCTTGAAAATCCATTTTTCTCATTAATGACTGTAAGTTCTATTAATTGGTTATGACAATATTCAGCAAAACCTTCAGCAACATCTTCTATACATTGTCTTAATAATAAATTTTTCATTATAGGTGTTGAAATAATAAGAACGGTATTCTGAGATGAATCAATTGAATAAAATTTATCAAAAATTAATTTTAAAGAATCAAAACGTTTACTTCCTTTAAATAACACCATTTTTAATTCATCATCAGAAGATCTCATATCATCATAAAAGATTCTATCTCCATCAGACAACGATAAATTAAATGCTCTTTTAATTTCTTTAATACTCATATAATTTGATTCTCCACAACAAATAGTATAAAGATAAAATAATATTCCAATAGAAATATCATGTTCAAATGAATATATAAATGCAGAAAATAAGTCATTTTTAAATTTCATTCCATTAAACACTTTTCTATTAATAATATTAACTATTGTTGGCATAAAATTTAATGGCTCTTCAAATTGAATATTATTTTGAGCAATAAATGGTTTAAACATATCAATACTTCTCAGTTTAATTTTAATATTGTTTAAATATTCTTCACTATGAACAAGTTCAAGATATGTTACTATTTGTGAATATGTTCTATGAATTTTTTCCATTCCTGCTAATAATGCTTGTTTGTTTTGTTTTATTAATTCTGATAAAAGACATAAAACTGTTTTTGAACTTGAAAGATATGCATTAATAACACTTTGAGTTAAATATTTAATACAATGTTCATCAACAGCTTTATTATTAAATGAATCTCTTAATTCAGTTAATACAAAATCAAAAAAGTCGAATTTGTAAATTATATTCATTACTTGTTCAATTCCTTCTTGTGTTCTTAATAAATTAAATTTTTTTAAATTAAACTGAGAACAATAAATATTATGATACGATATGTCTTCTGCTCTTAAAAATTCTTCTTTTCTAATTATTAATTTTGGTAACATTTGTATTTCTCTTCTACAAACTTCAAATTTTTCTGATGTTATACAAATTTCATTAATTGAAGTAGTAACATTACTAAAATCATGAATTAAAGTACATACTGAATATGATGGTATTAAATTCTCAGTATTAGGAAATAATCCATATGAACTAAATCGTTCTGGATACCAAATAAAATTCGTTTGAAATTGAATATGTTCTCCTGAATGAGAGTAAGAAACTGGTGCTATTTCTTTCATTACCTCTCCATTAAAATCGTAAACAATAGTAGTAACTGAATATTCCATTGAAACTTCTTCTTTTTTATTTGGTTGTGCCATTCTACTTTGAATAAATTGAACAGCATATAATTTCTCAACATCATGGATAGAACGAAGCACTAAAGCATTTACAGTTTTTTGATTCATTTTTATTGTTTTAATTATTGAATATTCTTTTGGTTTATTGGACTTAAAGAAATAAATCACAGATTGATTAGAATAACCTTGAAACACTAACATAAAACCATTTAAAGACTCTACAATTTGAGAACAAATATAGTCTTCGCATAAAAATCCACTCAACACCATTTCACATTCATTTTTCTCTTTATCAAAGAATAGTCTAGTTATAAAACCATTATCGAATGCAACAGTAATAAAGTTATTTGCCTCAAAATGAATTGACTTAATATGACTAGATTTAATATTTAATTCTTTATCAAAAGGAGGAAAACAACTATCTGAATATTTAGCTTTAAAATAATATTCACAACATCCAGATTTATCTTCAAATGAACAAAAGTCTTTACATGTTAGAGTAGTAATTTTCGGTAATTTTCTACTATCACTCATATCAATTTGTATAAGATTCAGATAACAAGGATAATCAGCAATAATAATGTTAATAAAACCATCTTCATCCATAAAAGCATTTGACATAACTTCTGGTTGAATTCTAAGAGCATGACCATAAGTAATATTTAACTCTAAATTAAATACATACAATTCAGAACCACAATATAATGAAGGGGGTTTAGACTGTACAGCAAGTATAAAAACACCACATGGAACAACTTGAAGAACTTGACTTAAACAAAAGTTCCTTTTCTTCCATACACTTTGATCAATATTAGAACAAATATTATATGCTATTAATTCATTATTTTCATATGTATAAAAAATAGTACAGTCATTTGTAACTCCACATAATGGTGAAGTTGTTGATAAAGACGAATATGTTACTGGAGTATTAATTATTTGTATCAAATCATTTATTTCTGACTGCATTAATTTAAAAACACTTTTTCTTTTTAAGTTCAAATTTTTATTTTTTCAAGGAAATTAACACAAATTTTTTAATAAAAACAAAATTTAAATTAATATGTTGAATAACATTTTACTATACATGGCACTTCTGCCCCTTCTAAACCAAAACCAAATTGAGAATATCCAAATGTTGAAACATCATTGAAGGAGTCTTCGAAATGTCCATTATAAGTAAAAGTTAAATGGTCTTCTTTAGGCTCAATTTTAAAACAATTTTTTAATTCCAATTTACCATTATTTAAAGTAATAATACCTGTTTGTTTTATTGTATTTTCTTCAATTTTACCACAAGTTCCTTTTAGACTTAAAACAGAACAATTACTTTTCATAGTCTTTTTAATTAAAGTTGGAAGATTATTAATGTAACAACCAAGACTAAAACCATTTTGATTTTCTACAACAATAGTAATATTTTTCTTTCCTCTAAGTGTTTTTCTAAGTGTTTTAAATTCTGATTGATTTGATGCTTGACCAAGAAAACTTACTTTTTTATAGATTTTTGATAATAATGGTATATTATCAATAGTAGATCGATATTTATTAATTCTTTCAATACAATTAGGTGAACAAAAATTTAAAACAGCTTCAGCAAATCTCTCATGTCGGTATTTATTTTCTACAATTCCTAATAATAAATTCATTTGTATATCATCCGGAAGGTTAGTTATAATAAATGGTAAATCATCTTCAGTAAGACTTTCAAGTAAATTAACTGAGTTTATTCCAGGTTGAAGAAAACTTCTAAATTTAACTACTTCTTTTGTAATATTATAAGCATCAGCAAAAACAATTTCTAATTCTGTTGGAATGTTGTGATTTAATAAAGCCTTAAATGCCTCACTCTTATTTCCATAACAATAACTATTAATTAATAAATCATGGTATCTTTCTAAGTCAGCAGTAGTAGCATTATTTGAATTAAGTAATTCTTGATATTTTTGAATTAATAATGTAGTATTGACCATTACGTTTCTTTTCAACACTTTCGAGATTTTTTTTTCTTTCCTTTTTATAGTTTCTTATTTTTATTTTGATATGAAAAGACATTCCAATGAGAAACTTTTGTACTATGTTCCCCTTCCTTCACGAAAAGTAGATTCTTTTTCATTCTTTTTTCCTCATAACATTAATCATTCTTTATTATTTTTTTCTATACTTTACTATATTAACAATTTTTTTTTTCTAATTTCTTTTGTTTGTGTCGTGAATATCAGTTCAATCTCAATTTTTATTCACCTCATTCTTAATTCAAGTTCTCTTGTTATTTAACTAATAATAAATGTTATTTCTTTTCATAAGAATGATATTTATTAATAATACAAATAATACTAATTCTATTTTTATAATGAATGAGAAATAAAATATTTTTGTTATTAATGATTATTGTTTTATTAATATTTTTCTGTTGATCATTTATTTCATACAATTAAATAAAAGGTCGTTTAGCGCAGTGGAAGCGCATCTCCCTCCGGAGGAGAAGGCCGTGGGTTCGACCCCCACAACGACCGTTTTTCTTATTCTTTTAAAATAAGAATAATAAAAATGAAAACCCTGAAAAAAAAAAATAAATTTTTCATTTTAATAGTTATATGTCAACTTCACGAAGAACCGTTTCACAACTCTTTGACATACCAGAAACTTCATACATACAAAATGATGAAATTAGTATTGGAAATGAAATAGCACATGGAAAATTTGGAACTGTTTTTGTTGCTGAAGTTAAAAAAGAGTTTGACATTCCTCGTGTATCTCTTAGACCTTCTCTTCAACCACCACTTCGTCAGTCACTTTCAGTAATTCAAGCACCACCACAACGACAACGTTCAAGACCATCAAATACTGTTTATTTATTTGAGAAAAGTAAAATTGAATCAGAAGGGTTTGATGTTCCATTATCACGACAAAGTATTGTAGCAATGGAACGACAAAATGGAGTACAACGAAAAAGAAGTCAACCATTAAGCCCAATTAATACTGTAAGAACATATAACCAAAAATTATCTGTTTCTACGAAACCAGAAAAAGTTGCAATGAAAACTCAAATAATTAAAAAACCTCGAGATTTTCAAGAAACGTCATATGCTGAATGTAGAATATTTAAAGCTTTAGCAAAATTAATGACAAAACGATATTGTAATAATTTTATTTATATGTACCAATGGTTTAAATCATTTGTAAATGAATCTGAACGTCAAGGAGATTCAGAACAAAAAATTTCATTTATTATGGAATATGCGGAAATGACATTTGCGAAAAGAAAATCAATATCAAAACGAGAATTATTTGAAATGCAAGAAGTTAAAGAAATAATTTTTCAAGTTATTTGGGCTTTAATGATTGGACAAAAAGAATTATCTTTCATGCATAATGACTTACATGCAAATAATATAATGATAAACAAAGCAAAGAAAGATCATTATTATTTTAATCCATTTGATAATAGTGCATGGAAAACCTCAATTGCTGTAGTAAAAATATGTGATTTTGGCTCTTCAAGAATACAGGTTGATGGAGAAATAATAGGAAAAGGTCAAGAATTATTTGATGAATATGTTGATCGTCTAAAATTTTGTGAATCATTACAAGGATTTAATTACATTCAATCAAAAACTCTTAATGAAGATAAAAAATTATTAACAGATTTTAAAAAATATTTAAAAAATATAAAAGGTACTTATTGGGGATTAGGTGTTTGTATTTATTTCTTTTATTTAGTAAATATTTGTTCATTTTATTAGGATTTACTTTACCATCCTTTCTTTGATTCTTTACGTGTTCAACCAAAATTCACAAAAAGTATGTCAGTATATAGCTATAAATTTGAACATCCTTTATGTCCTAAAACTGATCTTCAAACCTCCATTTTGTAATTGTTGATTGTTTGAATAACATCTAATATTTATAATTTTAAATTTTTAAGTTTAGTGATACATCAAACTTTAATTATATTAAAAGTTTATTATTAAATAATACTTTTAATATATTTTAACCCTAAAACAAAATTATAAAAAAAAAACAAAAAAGATTAAGACTCAAATTTGTGGTTAAATAGAATGTTTTTTAATAAAGAGTAGGTAATATTCTAATGAATAGTGAAAGAAACATAACAAAAGAAAAGAAGAAATAAAATAAAAAGGAAAAAAAACTAAGAAAGAAATCAGTATTGATATGAGTAAAGGAAAAACACGTCAATTTAAGGGTGTTGGAAAGATTGAAATTGATAAAGAAAATATTGAATTTGTTGGTCCATCAGAAAGACCTGGTAAAGTATGTGATATTCAATTTACTATGTTTAGTCAAGAAGAAATGAATCGAGAAAGTGAATTTGAAGTTACTGAACATTTTTTGTTTCAACCAAATACAAGAAAACCAAATCCTAATGGTGTTCTTGATAGAAGACTAGGTGTTTGTGATTCATTAAGTGTTTGTGAAACATGTGGTAAAAGGATAGAAGAATGTAGTGGACATTTTGCTGTAATTAATTTAGAATTACCAGTATTTCATATTGGATTCTTTAGACCAATTATTCAAGTATTACAATGTGTTTGTAAAAATTGTAATAGAATTCTTTTAACTAATGAAGAACGTGATTTCTATTTAAGAAGAATGAGAAATAAAAAAACAGATACTGTTGCACGTACTTATCTTGTAAGAGCATTAATTGCACAATGTAGAAAACATTATAATAGTTGTCCTCATTGTAATGCTATTAATGGAAGTATTAAAAAATATGGTAATTTAAGACTTGTTCATGATAAATATCATAGAGATCCTACTATTACTGAAATGAATGAATTTTATGATGGATTTGAAGAATCAATTAAACTTGATAAAGATATTAATGCATTTATTAATAATGCACAAGAAGACCTTGATCCAAGAAAAGTTCTTTCAATATTCAGAAGTCTTATAAGAGAAGATATAGAAACAATGGACTTTGACCCAGATAATGCACCACCAGAGAATATGATTTTAACTTCTGTTCCTGTTCCTCCTATTGCTATTAGACCATCTGTTGCTATGGATGGTGGAAATGCTTCAAATGAAGATGACTTAACAACACAATTAAAAGAAATTATGGAATGTAATGATAGAATTAAAGAAATGATTAAGAGAGGAGCTTCACCATATCAATATTATGATTCATGGGATCAATTAACAGTTGCAGTATCAATGTTTATTAACTCTGAATTACCAGGTTGTGATGATAAAGGAAAACCATTAAGAGCAATATGTCAAAGATTAAAAGGAAAACATGGTAGATTTAGAGGAAATTTGTTGGGTAAAAGGGTTGACTTTTCTGGAAGAACAGTTATTTCCCCTGATCCTAACTTGGACATAGAACAAATTGGAGTTCCTAAATTAATGGCAGTAAAATTAACATATCCAGAAAGAGTAACTAAACATAATATTGATAAATTAAGACAATTAGTCATTAATGGGTCTAATAATTATCCAGGATGTAATAGTATTATTGGTGGTTCTGATGGACTAAGAAGATCTATGTGTATTAAATTAGAAATGAGAGAAAAGTTTGCTAAAGATTTAAAAATTGGTGATATTGTTGAAAGACATTTAGAAGATAATGATATTGTATTATTCAACAGACAACCTTCATTGCATAGAATTAGTATTATGTGTCATAGAGCAAAAATTCTTCCATGGAGAACTTTACGTTTTAATGAATGTGTATGTACTCCATATAATGCAGATTTTGATGGAGATGAAATGAATTTACATGTGCCACAAACAGAAGAAGCAAGAGCTGAATGTTTAATGTTAATGCATTCAGCAAAGAATCTTCAAACACCAAGAACTGGTCAAATGATTATTGCAGAAACACAAGATTTTCTTACTACATCATATCTTCTTACAAGTAAAGATTTTGTTATTGAAGAAGAAGATATGATGCAATGGGCATGTTGGTTCCATAATGCAGGAACAGAAATTGATCTTCCAACACCAGCATATTTAAAACCAAAAAAATTATGGACTGGAAAACAATTGTATGGGTTAGCATTAAAACCAAATAAACATGAAGGAGTTAATATTTCATTAGATGTACCAAGTAAATTGTATAGTAAAGAAGGAAAATGGATGTGTGTTAAAGATGGATGGATTTGTTTTAAGAATAGTCAATTATTAAGTGGTCAAATAGAAAAATCAATTATTGGGTCTGGTAATAAAACTGGATTATTCCATTTAATTTTAAGAGACTATGGAACATTAGAAAGTGCTAAAATTATGGCACATATCTCAAGATTTTGTGCAAGGTTTCTTGGAGATTATGGATTTTCTATTGGAATATCAGATGTTACACCATCTGCAGATTTAACTCAAATGAAAGAAGAATTAGTAAGTGAAGGATATAAAAAATGTGATCAATTTATTGAAGATTACAAAAGTGGTAAACAAGAAGTTCAAGCTGGTTCAACACCAGAACAAACATTAGAGGCATTACTAAATAATGAATTATCTCAAATCAGAGAAAGAGCTGGTAAAAGATGTATTGAAGAATTAAAATCTGATAACTCTCCATTAGTTATGGCATTGTCTGGAAGTAAAGGGTCTGTTATTAATATCTCTCAAATGATTGCATGTGTTGGACAACAAACAGTGAATGGTGGAAGAGTTTCCGATGGTTTTATTTCACGTTCTTTACCTCATTTTGCATTACATTCAAGAACCCCACAGGCAAAAGGATTTGTAAAAAATTCATTCTTTACAGGATTAAATGCTACAGAATTTTTCTTCCATACTATGGGTGGTAGAGAAGGATTAGTAGATTCTGCTGTAAAGACTGCAGAAACTGGTTATATGCAAAGAAGATTAATGAAAGCATTAGAAGATTTACATGTTCATTATGATGGAACAGTTAGAAGTGCATCATTAACAGTTATTGAATTTAAGTATGGAGATGATGGATTAGATCCATTAAAAGTAGAAAGTGATAAATATCCAATTAATTTGGAATCTGTTTTATCTAATTTACAACAAAACCAAAAACCAGATGATGAATATATTACACCAGAAAGTTTTGATAAAGAATATAATGCAATAATTAGTCAAACAAAAATTGTTTCAGAATTATGGAAACAACAAATAGAAACATTTTTAAAAGAGAAAAAAGAAGAAATGACAGAGATTTATAATCATTATAACCAAGAAAATGCTCAACATGGATTATGTGGAATTACTATCCAAACATTAAAAGATTTTATTTCTATTTGTCACGAAAAAGGTCTCAGAAGTGTTTGTGAAGCTGGCACACCTGTTGGTGCATTGGCTGGACAATCTATGGGTGAACCATCAACACAAATGGTGTTAAAGACATTCCACTTTGCAGGTGTAGCGTCAATGAATATTGCTCTTGGTGTACCACGTATTAAAGAAATTATTAATGCAAGTAAAAAAATTCAAACACCAATTGTTACTGCCAAATTAGTTAATTCACAAGATGTAACATCAGCAAGAATTGTTAAAGGAAGGATTGAAGCTACTCGATTAAAAGAAATTGCTAAATCAGTTAAAATTGTATTTAAACCAGCTGAAGCATATATATCAGTAAAATTAGACTTTGAAACAATTAAACAATTAGAATTAGAATGTACTATTGAAAAAGTTCAAGATGTGTTATTAAATTATCGTGGGTTAAAATTAAAAGATAACCAAGTTATTATAAGAAATAAACAAAAGTTAAGAGTTTATGTAGATAAATCAAGTACTTCATTGTTATTTGCATTGAATTCATTAAGAAATCAATTATTAGAAGTTATTGTTTGTGGAATTGAAAATACTGGTAGAGCTGTTATTAATAAAAATAAAGGTTCATTTGAATTATTAGTTGAAGGAAGTGAATTATTAAAAGTAATGGGTACTCCGGGAGTAATTGGAGAAGAAACTACATCTAACCATATTGCTGTTGTAGAAAAAGTACTTGGTATTGAAGCTGCTAGAAGTACTATTATTTCAGAAATTAAAAATGTTATGGATGCATATGGTTTATCTATTGATGTAAGACATTTGTTATTATTGTCTGATTTAATGACATTTAAAGGAGTTATATTAGGAATTACAAGATATGGTATTTCTAAAATGAAAGATTCTGTATTTACTTTTGCTTCATTTGAACGTACAAATGATCATTTGTTTGATGCTGCTGTTCATTCTAGAAAGGATGAAATTAAAGGGGTTTCTGAAAGTATTATTGTTGGTAATCAAGTAGGTCTTGGAACTGGATTAATGCAGATCCTCTATGACCCACCAAAACCAATTTTCTTACAAAGGAAATATGACCCACTTTTTTAAAAGAACATTTTACATTAAATGATTGGAGTTTTTTAAACTTTCATTTTGTTTTTTTTTTTTTAATTAATAAAAACATAAATCAAACAAAAATAAGAGGAAACAGAAGAAATGGAAGTAAAAATAAAAATAGAATCTAAAGGGTTGAGATAGTGAGTCAGCAATTTGCAATTAGTAAGTGAAGCTTAGTGTTGTTTTTAGTTTAGATTGTTAGTAATAGTTCCCAAAACCCTGTAATCTCCATCTTGAATGGATTAAACAAAGAATGGGAATTGCTGATCAATTTGGAATGTTAATTTTTATTATGACTATAGCTTTTATTATTAAAATTATTTGGTATCGTGGAGTTATTAGGGAAAATAGTGGATTACTTATGAAAGTTGTATTTAATATGGCATTACCTTGCATTGTATTAAAAGCACTTATTAACCAACATTCATTAGATTCTGATGCATGGGTTGTTTTTATGGCAGGATGTATATATGAAATAGTTTTAGCTATTGGAGGTTTTATTATCTTTAGGTTTATTTTTAAATCTGAAGTACCTTGGATACAAAGACTAGGAGGATGCTTAGGTTGTAATATTGGGTTATTCTTATTTCCAATTCTTGAAATTTTAGATGGAGATCATGCTATTTCAATGTCAATTTTATTTAATTTAAGTAACGACTTTTGTTGTTATTGTGTTATTAGACCAATCTATGCTGTATTACAAAATACTAATAAATCTATTAAAGACGAAGAACAAGTTGACATTGACATAGAACTAAAAGATGAAGAATTAAAACAAATAATTCCTGAAGTAGAACACTCTATTGTTTTAGACACACCAAGTCCTTCTATTTCGGTTGGTATTGATACTCTTTCAAATTATGGAATGAAATCATCAACTACTCCACCAATTAATGGAAAATCACCAAAATTACAAGAAAATGGTTCAATAATTACACCAGATAAAATTCAAGATATTGGTCATTCTCAACAAGTTGTTATTCAAACAGAAAAAGAACGAAATATTCTTGACACAAAAAGTAAAAAAGAAAAGAGACTAACTTCTACTGTAGATAAAAAGCATTTAATTTTTACAATATTAAAATCTATTTTCACTTCAGTTCCAATGTATTTCTATCCATTAGGTTATCTTGTTGGACTTTGTGACATTCCTGTTCCTTTTGTAATTAGAAAAGTTGTTACAACTGTAGCTTCAGGAAATACTCTTCTTGCCTATAGTATCTTAGGTCTTTTCTTTGAATGGAAAATCCCATTAAAATATATCAAAGTTGTTCTTCAAGTAGCTATTTTTAAAATTACAGTTGGACTTATTGTTGGGCTTTCTATTTATCTTTCTACTGGAAATGTTGCAACACATATAACAAGAGTTTGTGTTATACTGTGTTGTTTATGTCCAGCACCATCAGTGAATATTATTTATTGTGTAGAGTATAATGTTGCCCATCTTGAATTTTCTTCAGGTATAGTAAATTACACCAATTTCATATGCTTTGTTACTATTATGATTGTCTATTCAATCCTTGCTTAAATAATCTAATTTGTCAGACTTTTTTTTTATACAACTTTATAAAATTAATATTATTATTAATAATTAAAAGATATCTTAATAAATCTATTATAATAGGAAAGAGTTATCTTAATTTATTTATGATGTTCCATTCTTGTTGTTAATTCTTTTGTTGGATTTAAATTTGAGAAAAATCTACTTTTTAATGTATTGTTAGAATAAATACAAATTATTGAAGAAATGTTATGTGTGAAGAAAAAAAATACAGAAGTATCACTTAGTTTATTAAGTATAATATTTTTCAATGTATTTTTGACAGCATTTATAACAGTAAAAGTATCTTTGTTATAAAGTATAATTAACTATTTATCCTTTCTTTTTAATCATTTATTTATTAAATTTTATGTTTATAATATTCTCAGAAGTGAGATAAAAAAAGTATATTAAAACTCATGTAATTCTTTAAAAATAAAAGTATACTATCTTTTGTTTTGACTTTTAAATAAGTACTGAAGAACTAAGCTCAAAAAAAAAATGAATTAAGGGAATTAGGCAATGAAAATAATTCATTTACTTAATTTAGGCTAAATAAATTACAACTTCCCTTTTTTCTAAAAATAAGAGTTATCAATAGATTAATGAGAATCTGATTATTAGGAAATTCCAATAATGAGTAAAATCTATAAAAACAAAAGGATTTAAATCAATTTTTTCATAAAAAAACATGCAAAAACATAATTTATTAAAATTTATGAAATGAAAAGTTCAATAAAAAAATTAAAAAAAGAGAACTAAAATTGATATATGGGTGGAACAAATAGTAAAGTACAACCTCAGAAAAAGGAGGTTATTACTATTGAACAAAGTGAGGTATTGAAAAGTTATAAAAAATGGTTAGTAGAATGGAGTTCAATGTCAAAAGGAGAAATAATCTATGATTCAAACACTGATTCAAAACTAGCAAAAGAATTCTATTCAATTACATTCAATAAACCAAATTTATATTTTATTACAATAGATGAAATGGGAAATAGTTTTGGTGCTTATTTTGCTAAACCAGTTGATAAAATGGATTCGTGGATATATGATGAAAAAAATTTCATTTTTGTTTTAAATTCAAATAATCGATTTTCTGAACCAATAAAATGGAATGCCAAAGTAGGAGAACAAGGTGGAATTCGTTTTTATGACAAAGATATTAATAAGTTGTTTGAAGTAGGAAATGGTGAATTTTGGGGTGGGATGCGATTTGGTTATTATTCTATTGCTGACATTAATGTAAAAAATTCATTTTTTTACAATATATCTTTTAGGTATGATGGAATTAATAATACTGATTTAAATGGACGTAATGGTCCAAACAACCCTTTTTCTGTTGACAGAATTATTGTCTTACAAATGTTGAATTAATTTTTTTTAACATCTGTTGGAATTTTAAAAAGTGTTGAATGACTGAGACAACTCGAAATAATAGTTGTTTCAAAAAATGATACATTGGTATTGGCTAACTCATCTAATTCCATTTTAGTATTGTTTTTGAGTAGTGTTTTAATTTCTAATTCAATTTCTTGATTATATTTAACTACTTCTGATTCTAACATATGACTTGCAATAATTTTTTCTCGATTAGTCAATGGAGATACTCCTTTATAATCTGATGGTCTTAATAAACTCCATCTTAATAATGAAATTCCATCATCACTCGGTTTAGATGTTCCTGAAAGTCTATTCTTTTTCCAACCACCACATAAAAAAGTCAAGAAAATTTCAATACCATAAACATCACCATCAACAAGACAACATGGAATGATATTTGGTTTTTGTGTTAAGTGATGTGCAATAGTAAATGTTGAGTTATCTGGAAATCCCCTACTACACAAGATAATACAAGGAAATTGATCAATTAAATGAGACTGGATTAATCGCTCAAAAAATGCTTCTTTTTCTACAATTAAAAGAAAACACCTTTGACTAGGAATAATAAATTGAAATGGAGACGAAAGAATTGGTAGTTGAAGTTTCTTAGTAAAGTCCATTACATAAATAGGTGTTACAAGTGTAACTTCACCATATAATATTCCTCGTGGGGTATGGGTTAAATGAAGCACATTTAAATCATTAACTCCAAATAGTAACTTGACGTCTCCAATTAAATTTTCTAATTCTGTCTGATCTTTAAAGATTGTTTTGTGAGTATAATAAAGTTCCCTTACTGTGAATTGTTTATTTGATAATATTAATTCATGAATTGTAGAAAGAATAACAAGAAATTTGAAATATTTTTTTTTCTTAACTGTCAACCTTGGACATCTTACATTACAATTACGTTGTGTTTGTAACAAAGGAAATTGGTGCCTTTGAGCTAAACCTTTAACAACAAATTGAATAATCTCTTCAATAATGCATATAACATCATTAGAGTTTGTCATACTGTTTTTCCCAATAAACTTCAATTAAAAGTCATCAAAAAAGACAAGATACAATCTTTTTAGCCTAAAACTAACATAAAGGAATTTATAAGAATAAAAAAACAAAAAGAGTTTAGTTTAAATCTTGTTCTTAATAATTCATATTTGTAACTTAACACTATTGTCTGTCTTTTATCATAACCTCTTTTGAAGACATGTACTTTTATTATTGTTAAATCGAAGAATTTATATTGTTTGCAAAACAATGTTTGTATTATTTGTACAAAATTTTTTTATTAAAAACACAGTTAACAACATTAAATTAAGTTGTTTGTCTTAATACAATTATTAATAATTCTATAATAAAAGAAAGACAAAATAAATTCTTTCATAATTGTCTAATAAATTTAATCAAAAATTAATTTATTTTATTATTGTGTTTGATTATGAATAATATACTTATGATATCTATAAACATATTAACACATCGTTTTGACTATATAAAATTTACTTCTTATACATAAAAAAATCACAACTTGAATTAAATTCATGGTTTATTTGTTTCATTTGTTATTTTTTTTACCTCCAAAATATATAATAAAATCTGGTCAGCAAACAAGTTATTATCAAACATTTGGTATAATGTGTTTAATATTCTTTTATAACTAAAACAAACCCAGCAAAAATTTTGTGATTTTTTCATAAAATAATATTATTTAAAAACTATTAAAAAAACTAAAAACAACAAAACCTTGAAATAAAATAGATTGTAATTAAGAGAGGATGGGAAAGGACAACAACAAGAAAAGAAAGGGAAAAAGAACAGGAAACAAAGAAAGAAAACACCCTTTAAACAAAACAAAAGAGAACAAAAAGAAAAATGAATCAAAACCAAAGAAGTCATTCATAAAAATCACAAACTCTTCAGTTCCTGCTGCTCGTTTTAAAAATAAAGTAAGTAAAATTACAAGCGTACTTGCTACTGGATCTCGATTTAATGGGAAAAAAGTACTAAGTGCACGTCAAGTCCAGCAAGGAAAAGAAACAAATCAATACAAAACCTCAGCTAAACGAATTAAACAATTACGGCGGGATGGTGTTCCAAAAAAAGTAATTGAAGCAATGCTTCAAAAAGAAGCAAAAGCCAAAAAGCATTCACAAAAGAAAAGAAATGTAAGATTGGGAATTGATTAACTTTTGTTAATTATTTTTATGGTTAATATTTAATAAAATACTAAATAAAATATTAAAACGAAAAGTAAGTTATTTCCTTTAAATATCCATTGTCTTTAAAACTTTTGTTGTTTTCTTCTTAAAAGTAAAGCCAGTTTTCTTTAACCCACCAACATTAGCAGCTGCTTCCATTGCTAATGGGTTTTGTCTACGTCCTTTAACCATATTCCCTTCTTCTCCTGGAATAGGTGCTAATGAAGTCTTCTTTTTACCAGCCTTTTTAGCAGCAGCAGCTTCAGCCTTTTTAGCTTCTTTTTCTCTTTGTGCCTGAAGTTTTTTATTTTCTTCTGTAACACGGTTCCAATTGGAGATAAAAGTAGATAAAGTAGTAAAGAATTCTTCAGGGGGTGGTGGTTTAGCAATATCAAGTGCCATATATTGAATTGCTTTTTTATATATTTCATTCATTTCAGCAAAGTCCTTAGCAACTGCATCTAGTTTACCTCGTGTTTCTTCAAGGAATTTTTTCATAATTGGATGGAATTTTGAACCATCCTCAGGGATTTTTCCTACAGCCGTTTGAATGTCATTATACATTTTTTCTAATGATTTGATATCACTTTCAAATTGAGCACCAGGAACTTTTGCTGCTAATGGAATTTCCGTAACTTCATTTTGCCATCCATCTACTTCTTCTTTTAACTTTTCAGCAGCATATTCCTGAATAATATGAAGAAGTGTTCTTTTATTATCACCAGTTTTTGTATCAAGAGTCTTGTTAAGAGTTTCAAACTTAAATCCTGCAACATTACCTTTTGCTGTTCCTGAATTAAGGAAATTACCCATTAATAAAATAACTTCCATCAAATGAATAAATTTCTTACTATCAAGTAATTGATTTGAAGCTTTTATAACATGTTTAATATTTGGTCCAACTTCTTCTAATTTAACTGGAAGCTCCATTTTTGATTGGAACGAATTTAATTTAAGGGTGATGTTACTTACTCCATTTAATGCATGGACAAACATCTCTGCACTTCCTAAATTATCTGTTCCTTTTTCTTTAATATGTTCTTCAACTTGTCCAATTTCTTCTTTAGCATCTTCAAGAGCTTTTAACATAGTTTTTATTGTTGAAGTTTCTTCAAACACTGTTTGATCTACACTATTAATGGCTGCACAAACCTCTTCTGGTGTTTTATTCTTAAACCCTTTAAGCAAAATTGTAAAGGTTTGATTATTCTTGGCATCAAGAATACAAATAGGTCCTTGTTTTTTAGTTTCTTTTGGGGCTGCATCTGCTACTGGTTTAACTTTTTCAGGAACTTTGAATGCCGCTTCAATTAATGATAGGTCTAATTTTTGCTTTGTTTTATCTAATGTGTCTAACTTAGTAAATAATGTTCCACTTAAGTTCTTATCATTCATCTTTTGCCACATGAAATTCTTTACTTTGGATTTTGGTTTTGGGAGAGTATCAACTAATCCGTTGATAACTGGTGCAGCTGGTCTAAATCCAAACCCACCAGGAGGTGGAGGAGGCATACCGGGCATTCCAGGAGGAGGTGGAGGCATTCCTGGCATTCCAGGAGGAGGTGGAGGCATTCCTGGCATTCCTGGCATTCCAGGAGGAGGTGGAGGCATTCCTGGCATTCCAGGAGGAGGTGGAGGCATTCCTGGCATTCCAGGAGGAGGTGGTGGAGGAGGCATACCGGGCATTCCAGGGGGTGGTGGTGGTGGTGGCATTCCTGGCATTCCTGGCATTCCAGGAGGAGGAGGTGGTGGAGGAACTGAACTTGCTCCAGGAGGAGGAGGTGGTGGAGGAATTGAACTTGCTCCAGGAGGAGGAGGTGGTGGAGGAACTGAAGTAGCTCCAGGAGGAGGAGGTGGTGGAGCTAAGGAAGAAGTGCCAGAGACAGAAACACCCTTAGGTTTAGAGGCTAACTCTTTTTTTGTTTGTTCTATTTTCTTTTTAACCTCTTCTATTTCGTCATTGATCTTTTTACTTTCTGTATCAATTTGTTGAATCTTTTCTTTCTTGTCATTTAACTCTTTGTTAACCTCAGAGTTTTCTTGGTCTATTGACGATACTTCTTTTTCGATAGTTTTGATTTTTTCTAAAGTAATTTGTAACTGTTCCTTAGAATTTTTTAAGTCTTGTTTCTTCTTGTTAAGGTCTTCAAGAATTGATTGGTCCACAGTAACTTTTTCCCAGTCAAGTTTCATTCTATCAAAGACTTCATCAATTTTAATTCGTTCTTCTTCATTGTCTCCAGACTCAATCTTTTTTTTATTAGATTTTTCGTTATTGTTCTTAGTGACTTGAAGAGATATTTGCCTTATAATACCTGTAAGAATTACAATCTTCTTAATTAATAACAAATTATCATCTTTTACTTTAGCAAAGAATAATATTTCTTTATGAACATTCGTCAAAATATCATTGCACTCAAATTTGTCCATTTGTTCAGTAACATAATTATTCAATGATTTAGTACTTTCAAAATCAACAACTTGTTTAAGGTCATCAAAACGAGACTCTACTTCCTTTTTATCTTCTTCCCAACTATCAAAGAAGTCATTAATAGAATCTTTAATTTTATCTATTTTCATCCATTCAGTATTTTTCATATTCTCTAATTCATTAACAAGTCCAATTTCAATGAAACTATTTCTTACATCCATACGATGTTCTAATTCAGGTTGATCGATTAAATTATTAATTAAAACTAAAGATGCGTGTTTAAATTTTTCACTTTTGCTCTTACTAAATAATGAGAAAAATGAAAGAAACTTTTTCATATCAACTCCTTCAGAAACTAAGTTGGAAAATGCATTCATTACACATACATCTCCTCCAAGATATAATCCTTCTTGACTTGGATGTTCTACCATAGATGATGTTAATGTAATTTCTAGCAAAATGTCTAATTGATTATCTGGTGTGATTCTTTTAGAATTCATTCCTTTTAATAATAACTCAACACCACCATCTATCTCAATTAAAGCAACCGTTGCATCTTCTTCAGCAAAAACATATCTAAGAACTTCACAACATTTTCTTTCTTCATCAATTGCTGTATTACTATTTTCTGCTTCAATTTTCTTTTTATAAATTGCCATTAAATTGGCAAGACCTCCAACTGAAACAAATGTCTTAATAAATGACACTGACGATGATCTAAAAACAACAACCATCTCATTTAATAAATCCATATCATCTCTTGTCTTAAGAAGATCAGCAAGATATTTAGGGTCAGTAATAGCATTTCTCCAATTACCTGTCTTTTGAGCATTTAATTGAATTCTAATATCTTTCTTTTGTTTCTTTTCGTATTCTTGAACTAACTTCCATTGGTTCGGGATTGTAATCAATTCAGGATTATCAATCTTCATTTCTTTAGCAACAATCGCAAATTTTTGTTGAACAACTTCTTCAGGTGGCATTTCAACTTCTACTTTTATTGGTCTCTTACATGAAGTTGGTTCTTTACGGAATTTATCAATGCACTTCTTTTCATGTAAATAAATATTGCAGACTGTACAATAAACAGCCTTTTGTTTCTTTTTAATTTCTTTATTACAATACACACATTTTTTATTCTCTACTGGTTGTGTACAATCTTTAAAGGTATGTGGAATCTTATCCATTAATAATTGCTTTTTTTAGTTTTTTCTTCATCTTTTTTCTTGTTCATCTTTAAATTATTTATTTTTTTAAGTTCTACCTTCTTATGTCTAATTTTACTATTTTTTTGAGTTTACTAGATAATTCTTATTGAAACAAAATATTCTAATATTATACTTTTCTATTAGATTTAATCCTTTTGAATAACAAAAAATTTTTTAAATAATGGGTTTTAATATTTTATTCTTTATATCAATTTTTATTCTATTTTTAATAATAACACAATCCAGTCTAATTCTTTATTCACTTTTTTCTTTCATAATGAGTAATTTCATTTAATTTTAAAGTAAAAATATAAAAAGAATGAACGTATAGTGTTATTTAAGATATATTCTATTTTTGTTTATATGAACAGACAGCCAAATAAAAAAATAAATGAAAATGGAAGTATTGGAATTATAGAATAACAAAGAGTGGACCAGAGGGAAAATTTCTTTTTGTCTCTTTTAACCATTTTCGGAAGTTCAAATCAAAGTTTTAGAAGTCATGTGTTATTTTTGGGTTATCTTTTATTTTTAACAAATAGTAATTTAAAAATAATTTGCCACATTTAGTAGCTGGAAATTTACTTGATAATCCTTATTTAAACAAAAAAATAAACTATGAGAAATAGTCTAAAACAATTATGCATTCATTACCACACCATCCATTTGTTGACTATCCAACATATTATGTACATCCAACATACACAAATGATAAACATATAACTAAACAATTCTTTAATTGTATTGATGAACAAGAAAAACTACTTAATGAAAGAAAAAGAGAAACACAAAAATTGAAAGAACTCAAACCAGAACAACGATATCCAAAAATCAGAGTATCACATCAAGTCTTTAAAGAACTTAAAGCTATTCAAGAAGAAAAAGGATATAAATCTTTTGGAGAAGTTGTTAAAAAATTATTAAACCGATATGGAGAAGATATAAGAATATCAACACCATCTTCATTACCAAGTTGTAATTAATTTAATTTTTTATGTTTTAATCTTCAACGTTGTTCTAACAAAAAAAAGAAGAGTGAAATCCTTTGAAATAAATGAGAGTATCATTCTTGATAAAGACATATTTTATTTTCTTCTATTACTTACTTATTTCAAAGCATTGAGTTATTTGATTGGTTTTAGTATTTTTATATTTTAATTCATTTTAAAAAAAATTGTTCCCATTAGTATTTATTCTTATTCATATTTTTCTAGTTTAAAAAAGAAATACTCTGTTTCAAATGTGACATTTTACATTCATAAATGAATGATATAACTATGTTATATGTTCAAAGAAAATATGTTATCATTTGGTATTTTCTTAAAATTTATTATTACCAATTTATTTTGTTTTGTTCTTTTCTAAAAAAAGAATATTATATTCTATCGTTAATTTTTGTAGTCTTTACAAGTTATGAGTTTTATTTTTATTATAACCTCTATAAGAAATGACAAGAGAATAAAAATAGGAATATTTAAAATTGATTTTTTATTAACATTCAATGAGAATTATACAAAAAATCACATATAAAGATTGTATTTAAGTATGATAATAATAAAAAAGAAGTGATAATATATTAATTTGCTCTTCGATTCTATTCAATGTATTATACTATTAATGATGATATAGAAATGCTAAGTTGTGAAATATTATATTATTTTTACCAGACTATTTTTAATCTAAAATTACAACAGAATCTAATGAAGAATATTTTATAGTTATTTTTGGTATTTCTAAATCATTATGATTAGTGTTTTATTATTTGAAATTTATTTTAAATTTCCATACGTTATATGATAATTGTTCATTCATTTTGTTATTTAAACAATCCACAATACTTTTTATGTTCTGACACTTCTCACACTTTCTCTCTAAATAAATTTAGATTGAATGCTAATTTATTTTATTCCCTCTTTAGATTATCATCATTTATAGCACAAAACTGTTTATTTACCAATACATTAATTATTTTTATATTTACAATGCAAGATTGTAATT